AGTTTCAGTGATACCAGAATATTTACCGAAGGCCTTTTATAAAAGAGTAGATGAACTGTAGTCAAGTTGGAAACCTTTAGCCCAGATGCCAGTGGCATCTGAACTCTCTCTTCCAGAATATCTGAGGAATCGCCTCCTGTTTGGAAAGTATTTTGGGGGCCTCGTTGCCTACCTTGTACTGGAGCGAGAGCTGAGAAGAAGGTTTTTTATCCACAAATTCCGGACAGAATATCACATTCCTAAGAATAAGGGAGAAAGGAGTGACATTATTCTGCGCACAGGAAAAGGGCAACTCATCCCCATCATGGGCTTATGAAATCTCACTGGGGTTTGAGTTTGCTGAGTAAAAGATATACCTTGCTCCTGCAGGAAGGTATTAGGTTGGTCAGCTGCCAATTCCTGGGGAATGAACCCTGTGAGATTATTTACATTCATCCCAGTTAATCAATTGATGTTTGTAAAGCACTTTAAACTTGAAAAGCACTCCTATAAATATTTGGTATTATCATATAATTACACTACCACATCTCAATTAAATGCACAATTGGCCATGCTTCAGTCATGTAACTGAAGTGTCACCAGAAGTATTTCAAATGTAGGTATCAGTCTATGCCGATGATCCTCAAGACTGGTATGTAAACCTGGAGCAAAACGAGGACTCTTGATTTTGGAAACACTGGAGACCCACTGTCTGATCAGAATGAATGTCTCTGTCCCTAGAAGAGAAATATATTTTTTCCACAACTACAAATATAGGTAATTTTTTGCTTCTATTTGTCTTGCATCTTGAACACTTCTTGTGGGCAGCGCAAGGACTAAGCTGCTTCTGTTTGTTTTTTTTTTACTTTACTGCCTTCCCTCATTAATATAATGGAAAAAGGATGTCACTTGTGATCTTGTCTCAGATTTATATCCTTTAGGGTTGTGCTTTATCAATGGTCTGTATACTGTACTGTCTGATGTACTGAAATAAATTAAAACAATTAAATGCTGAAGCATTCTCCATTTCCTCCAGAGGGTAAAAAAGTTATTAAGCCTCAAATGACGATATATATGTTGCCATCGGATTATTAGCAATATAGGAAGTATTGCTACTGACTCCATTGTCTTCATTCTGAATAGTAAGCTTGTTTATATCAGTGTTGACAATCCAAGCAGTGGTCTGGCTTCAAAAAAAAAGTAATTTTAAAATAATAAAATTTGATATTGCTCTTTCATAGTACATTTTATAGTCTTCTAACTGAAAGATCTTTAGGAAACTCAGTTGCTTCTAAGCTTTTCTCCACAAACATGAGAGCTATGAAATTGTGGAATTTTTTTTTTGGGGGGGGGGAGTTTTTTATTTGTTTTTTACTTTTGTAATGAAATCAGAAACTTTAATGGACTATCTTGATTTATTAGATGAAGTAGTTACTTTACTAGATGGCAGTATTGTTACCATACTTCCCATTCCTCCTTTTTTACCTTCTTCCTCTGGTGCTCTAACTCTCACTTCCTCACTCCTTGTCATTTCTTTTCATGTCAGTTGAATGCTCTTTGGGGAAATGGATAGGCAGTTTTTGTATGTTTGTACAGAACCTGCACAAGACTGTAGTTGAGGCCTCTAGATGCAATCACAACCAAAATAATAACATTTACATCTGGTCTTTCAGGTTCATTGGCATCAGTTTACCCTACAAAGAACCCAAGATATTTTCCAATGTAGAGCTGTTACTACTTCTTCCTGTATCTTTCTGGAATAACTGTATATAAGAGCCACAATGTGGGCTCACAGAAAGATGTGAGTTTCCACCAAAATGATGCCAGAAGACAAAAATATAAAAACTCTTCAGGGCAGGAGCTACCTCTGAGTGTGTCTGTATAGCATCTGCTGACAATAGGACTCCAGTGAGGGTGTCTAAGATGCAATTACATAATGCATGTACATAAAATGGAATGTGTCATTACTGCAGTGTTAAGCTATATTTGGAAACCACAACAAGAAAAGCACTTTCTCCCAATTTTTTTTTTTTATTTCACGATAGGAAAAAAGTGTCTTTGATATATGAAGCATTTTATGAGACCATCTTTTTATTTTAATAACTGCTAATTTGCACACCTAACATCAGTTGCTGGTGCAATTAATTGTGGATGCAAATGAGAATGTTTAGCTGTCTAATCACCTGATTGTGCCTATAAATCAGTGACAGTAATTATGTGTGTAAATGCTCATTTCAGCCTGCAATTAATTTGGCCAAAATTGATAGGACAGAAAAAAATACCACCCTAGGCTGAAATTTGGTCCCCAGTGTGTAAAAAGACAAAGTGTCTTCCTCCTCTGCCTCTCGTGTCTAAATTGCAGAGAGCTAAGTAGACAAAGAGCAATGATTCCCCAGTCCCCAATAACTCACTGCCAGTGTTTCACAATAAAGTGCAATGGGAGAGGAAATATTTCCATAAGGGTTCATTAATCACAACACACTTGCCATGCACAACCACTCTGCAGAGCAGGTAAAGAACCCTAGGGGATGTTGCCTGGCACAGCATGTCATTTTCATAATAGGAAAAGTATTTTTTGCACAAATGCTGTAGAACTGCAGTTGCAGGTGGCTCCGTTGGCAGAGCTGGAGCCTCCTGGCACAACCCTCAGCAGCCAAAGCTACTTTAGGTATTTATAGCAAGTGCTAGTGATATCTCAGAAGAAGGATGCTGAAGATGCTCTCTGCCCACTATGTGCAATATTCCCAGGTGTGCCCCTTGGGGGGACATGTGAGGCAGGGAAAAAAAAACCACCCAAAATCCAAACTACAGAAGGAAATGCAAGTCTCACCTGTCCCTGTTGTGCTGGAGAACACTAATGAGAGGTCTAGGAACAATTAAACTGATTGTGACTGAGAACCTGGGGATCCAACGGACCCTATTAGCAGAACTGGGCAGCAAAAGATGCCTTTCCAGCTGAGTGGCTTCTTCAGATCTGGGCAGCAGGCCAATTCACTTTACCTAACCCTGAAGACATCAGACAGCCCCTGTTATCCCATCATACTCTAACCCATCTAGACCTGCTTAGTGCTTTGCATGAGAGGTAGGGTTGGTGTCTTGCTTATTGCACCTCTGTCGTCTCAGTCTCTGAGTGCTTCATTGCTGCTTCACTCCCGCATGGGACTTTGATAAAATTCAAAGCCACCTGGTGTGATTTTAATTTAAATGTGACTTTAATGTGTTTTCCTTATATATTGCTATGATGTGCATTGTCAAGAGAAATGCTGCAGGCTCAGATCTGGCCTCTCAGCTGTTTCTCTGTGCTACTCCCTGGTTTTGTTTGATGCATATTCCTGAGTAAAGCTGTTGCTCTGCGGTGGCATGTGCACTGGGTACAAGGGTCCATTGGGTACAAACACAGCAGCCATTCTTTGTGGGGGCAACTGAGTCTTGGGCTGTTCTGCCAGTCAGAGGCCAAAAATCTTCTCATCGGCAAGGATACTGCCGGAGTTACAACTGAACAAAAGAGGGAGGAAAGGTTGCATGCAGCCTATATAAAAAGAGGTTCTACAATTCACCATGCTCCTCCAGTCATGAAAAGGGTTTTAAGACAAGGACTTGTGAAAAGGAGGAGAAATACTGAAATGTTTTATCTTAACCATTTAAAACAATTCATAGTGGAAGTGGTTAAAATTTACTAAAAATTTTCTTGTTAGAAAATATAATCTCACTAAAAAAAAAAAGCTGCTGTGAAAACATATTAAAAAGATCATAAGGAAATGCTTTCAGGACCAGGATGTGAAAGATACGGTGAGAAAAAGAGAAACAAAGATCCATATCAGTTAGTAGCCCAACAGGGCACTCTGGTAGGATGCAAGACACCCTGATGCAAGACGACATCTTAATCTTCAGAATGTTTCATTAAGTGAGACTGTTTTTTCAGCCAGCCTTAATTAGTTTTGAACTAAAATTGTAGGAGCAGGGTGGGAGCCTAGACTTTCTGACACAGAATAACAGAGAGCAGATCAGAATAGTAGAGCAGACCAAAGGCCACCCAGAGTGGTCGTTGCGCTGTGACACACGTGTGTCATGGGAGACCGCTGCAAGATCTGCAAGGGTCACGAAAAGCATCGCAGCAGCCAGGTGGCTTGGCCACCAGAAGACATCCCTTGCTTTCTAAAACCACTCATTGCTCCTGCACCCATTGAAATCTATTTAATTGGCTGGTTGCCAGGCGTTTTTCCCCCTGCTTGCACAGGCCACCAGAGCTGACACATGCTTTCTGACCGTTACTTCTCTCATCTGCTAGTTACTACTGCCAGCAGCAGCAGCCTCTTGGGCTCCTGGCTCCTGCTGCTTCTTACTGTTGCTGCTGCACGGGAGCTATCATAGTGAGTCACTTCTAATCACCAAGGGAACCCACAGCCAGATCTCCGCTCCTCCTGAAATGGGAACTCACAGCTACATCTTCTTTCCTCCTAAAATAATCAAACTATGAGAACAAGCACTATATATTTGGCAGTATCTGAAATATGATATTCAATGCATTAGATGGGTGGAAAAGCAGGACAATGAGCTCAGCCATAGCAGGGCCCCAGGCTAAGACCACCCCAGGCTTGCAGTGCAGGTGGTCTTCCGAGTCCACATAGAGTCATGCAGAAAGATCAGTTCTTTGCAGGTTCTGAGTAGAGACCATTGCAGAATCAGCTGTTTGCCCCCCATTACTTGAAAAAATTCTGAGGGAGGCCTTATTATCAACACATCCCCCTTATATTTCCATTCGGAAAACTGGGTCCTTGAAAGGAATACCATTTAACAAATAAGACAATGCTAAGCTTTTTAAATGGTTTTACGAAGGCAAGTCTTGTCTTCACATTAGTTTACTCTTATCACATCAACTATTATAAATTGCAATATGATAATCCTTTTAAATAAATGTTCATTATTTTGAAGTACATTGAAAAAATGTTGGTTATTTTCAAGCAGAAGTGTTACCTGTAAAATATTGTTCTGCATTTCTATAACCTCTCTCTTTTATTTCTAGGTATTTCCACACAATATACTTGGGTATCCGGAGTCGACGGAGTGGAGAGAATGACAGATGGCGGTTTTATTGGAAAATGGTGTATGAGTATGCAGATGTGAGTATGCTGCATTTGCTAGCCACGTTTCTGGAAAGTGCACCACAGCTGGTCCTGCAGCTCTGTATTGTTGTACAGACTCGTACGCTCCAGGCTCTCCAAGGTAGGGGTTCATTTAATCTATTTGTTTTTTATCATTTTAGGAAGATGTAATTTCTATACATACATATTTATCCTTCTTTCAAACTGCTGTGTGCCTTGTACTCCTGGCATAAGAGCAGATCTTGCCTGCTAGCTCCTGTTAAGCTGTTAACAATGACTCTGTCAAGAAAGCCTGTGTTGTTGGAGTTTTTTAGCCTTTCTTATTGGCCCTGGGTTGTGGGTAGGATTTATAATGTTTTGCTTTCTGCATGTCCTTGTAACAGAAGAGCTCTTCTGATTATCCACTGGGCCAATGGGAAAATTGTATCAATCAAACTATTGCTCTTCTCCCTATGCTTCTTTCTGTGAATGTTCAAAACCCTCAAACTGCAGTAATGAGGTTCATATGGTATTACATAAAACAGAAGACGGCACAGCAGAAAACAGCTATTCTGTGAAGAAAATGCCAGTGTCTATGGAATACGTGTCCATCAGTTCTCGGCCACATTTATCTGAAATAATACAAGTCATCTCCTGAGCATTACAACAATACTCATTCCTTCAAGCTGTGGGTTTCCTTCTAAGGGTGATGCTTTCAGCAAGCATAATTACTTCTTTAAAATGGTACATGCGTGCATATGTCCTGCCATAGGGTTTTGTCAGTCAGCAATACAGATATAAGAATATGTCCTTCTCTACTGCTCTTTTGATGCTACTTTTGGCTACCTGATAGCTTTCCTTTTGTATTGCACCATTGTTTTGCCCTATGGCTGTACCTGGGCAGAAATTATTAGCAAGGGAATGAGGTGAATGAGAACTTGGGATCCAGAAGGTGACACAAACGTCATAAGGCGGTGAAGAGTGAAGGGTTAGGAGGGGAGGAGGAGAAAGGAAGGAAATGCAGCATTTTTGCCATTTGCTTTTAAGAAAAAACTCATGTGCTTGCCACTGTACAAGATAAAACTGTGACAGCACCTTGCTCCAAGAAGCTCTGGGTCTAGTTAGCTTATTATGAGTAACATGCAGTGAGGCTGATCAGGTGAAAAAGGACTGGGAACAAAGTGGGTAACTATGTGAAGACCTTGATCCTGGGCAGTTTCCTGTGGATAAATCAGAGGCTTTTCATTTACCTCCTCTTTGAACTGACGTCTAGTAACAGCTGTCCTGCTTCCTGTGGTTTTTTGGTTTTGTTTCTTTAGATCCAAAACTCTGCCACCTTAAGGGGGAAAGAAAGCTAAAGTTTCTATTTTAATTAGTTGGTGCTCTGTACAAGGAAGGTCTCCTAAGCACTTCCTACAGCTATTTCTCAAAATGATGCTGCCCCACACCAATCAGTCCAAACTATTATCATTCAGGAGAAGGTATTATCACTTCAAGAAGCTTTGTCCCCCCGGAAGAAGAGACTCCAGAGCGAGACTTAGGAGAAAAACATAGCCAGAATACTGTATGGTCAGCTGTAATTTAGCTATCTTCATAAACTATTAATACAGAAGGCCTCTCGCCTTCATTTTAGTGCAATAACAGATCTGTCTATGAGAAACCTGGCTGGTGAGTAGGCACTAAGCCTGTGATGTACTCTGCAAGTGGTTGTTAATTAGAGAAAACCTGAAATGCTTCAATTTAAAAGGCAAAGATGGTTCCTGGAGCCTGCAATCAGCTCTGTGAAATCTATGTATCAGAAACCAGAAAGGAATAAAACTATAATTATGGATTTCAGCTGAGAAGGCTGAAAATACTTACTTATCCTCTCTTCCCCCATTTTCTTCCATCTTCCAAGGAGAAAAGGCTGTATTTAAAAAAACTAAGAAAATTAAACAAGGTTGTAGCATTTTCTTAAACAGTAGTACCATTATATTCTCCTGATGAAAGCTAATATGTTTTAGTACATTGCCAGCTGTGAAAATCCTTTTTCTGTTCTCTCTCCTTTTTTAAAGAAATGTTAAGGACAATGCGTTGCACTATAGGATGGTAGATTTGCTGTGAGGCTGCATAAGGAGAGCATAATTTCTCTCAGTGGTATCATGCTACAACTGGGTGTTTTAAAAGGCATAGCCATAAGGTATATGCTTGAGCTAGCTGTCCACTCACTGAGCCTGTTATAGAGATTTCTAATATGGATCAATAAACAGAGTGTTTGATTGATTTTCTTTGTTTAGAGAATGCTACTTGGTTTTTATTATTGTTCTTTTAGTTCTCTGTCCCACAGGACAAAGTTATCATGACAATTGATAAGTGCCATCACTGGTCCATGTTCTTAAAAGTACACTTCCATCACAAACCACAAATTTGGCATGGGAAATGAATGATACTGGAAATGCCTTGGTCTATAAGCAGGGTATTTCTAATATCAAGCCATTAATGACCGCAAGAAAAACTGTTAAATATTTTATTTATGAAACTGTATATTTTCCACTCCAAATGCACCAAAATAGCATCATCCCCAACAGGAGAATGCTGTCAGTGTGACTGAAGATTCCCCATTTTGTAATGGGTGTTGGCTAGGTGTGGATTATTTCTTATTTCAGTCCTTAAGCCCTGCTAATCAAGGTAAGAAATACATACAGGCATGTACAGACGTCCTTATGAAGATCAAGAAAAATATTGCACAATGTGTGCAAAACCTTCCTTCTTAGTCTTCCATACACTGCAGTGAGGGCCACTTCAAAAGCCCAGAGGATGCACCACAAGGATCCTTTAGCACTTGCCTGGGCTCCCCAAACATGGATTAAAAAACTGCAATGTAAACATCTAGCAAGGATTGTGTACCACTGTACCGTGACTGCTGCAGCAGAACATTGCTTATGCGGGAGGCCATAGACAGTCATTATGGAGTGGCATCTCTTTTCTGTGTTGGCACCCAGAGAAATCTGAGCATTGATAAAACAGTATCTAAATTATTATCTAAAAATCTGATTCTTCTTTAAGATTTCATCAAAACTGGCACAATTAAAGGCAATGATCTTTCTTGTTCTGCCTACAACCAGCAGCCAGGTCCCTCCCAGAGTGGAAGGAGTGAAACGGCTTACGGGGGAAGATGATGATTTCTCAGTGCTAATTTCTCAAGAAGACAAACAACTTCAATATGATGCTGGACTAAGCTGGAGCTCTGCTAACCCCCCTATTACCTCCATGTTTTCCACCCTGGTGGTTCCCTTGAGTCTGAAGAAATATCTACTCTCTAGAAGACAGATGTGCCTTGAAAATAAGTAATCCCTCAGTCTTTTCCTCATGGGAGTCTGTTTTCCTTCCTTTCTCTTCATGTGCTCTGAGCGCAGCACTCCCACAGCAACTTCTCTGCTGAGCCAGCTGCACCTCCAAACTGCATTGCTTTTGTTTGTTTTTTCTCCTCTCTCTTAGTTACTCTGTAGAAAAGTCTTGTCCTAAGCAGCTTCATGGTGGGAGTCACGAGCTTCCCCAGTCTTATTCTAGGTGGGAACTGTATGAGGAATGGGGCAGCTCTGCATGTAGGGGGAGCAATGGCAGAGAGTCCACTGAAACAATTGATGCTCATCCTGCATCCATCTGTTTGCATAAGGGCATATATGTGGACAGAAGCATCTGAACCGTCTGCAGGTAAACTAGTTCAGCTACCAGAAACAGTCTAATAGCAATAGCCTGGAGGCCGGGGTGGGCTAACTGATCTCAGTGCCAGCCTACATACACCAACCACCTGAAAGTCCCTGTGGACCTGGGCCCTTCGCCCTGTGTTTTCAGTTCTGCTCCCAGGGCTGGGCAGTGAGGTCCTGCACTGGATCTAACTCCAAGTCACAGGAAACCGAAGTATCAGAGTTGAAAGTGTTTGGATTATTGGATTACCCAAATAAATTCAGAAGGCTGCAAGTAATTCCCTTAAAAATGCCTCCACCCTTCGAGCCATTTAGAAAATAAGCAGTAGTTTCACAGTCTTTGCTATAAAAACAAACACTTCCACAATAATAAGTATTAGGCACATTTGGTGACACAGTAAGATCAGTCTAAAGGCTACGAGGCTGGCGTTGCTGTGGCTGCATGCTGGGTCCCTCGGACACTTTTATTTTCCCCAGTGCTAACTTCATTGAGTCTCAGCGGGATCCAGTTGGACTCTCTGGGGCATGGGGGTGTCACACAACTGGTAGTGCCAGCCTTGGGGAGGCAGGGGGGACATGACATCAGGGTAGGTAGGGAAGGTCAGGGCTGTCCCTTTCTGTGGCACCTTGTTTTAGAATCACGCCCGCAGACTGGCAGTCATCCCTTGGCACTCTCCTTTTACTTCCTTCAATTTTCCCACTATGCCATTTGATTTTAGAAAGACTTCCCATCTTAAAATTAGTAAAAACCAGGGAGCAAAAAATCCTGCTGATCATCTGATTGGAAAGAGACTCATATCCGTTAGGGTACAGTTACTGTCATCTTACTCAAGGGCATGGTGTTCTAGCTGCTCCTAGATGAGCAGATAGACAAGATTACTCCCTGGATTTACCACAGATTTCATTATTTATGCTGTATTAATTAACACATTGTTTAAATTATAGATTAGTTTCTCATTCCTGTTTACTGCATATTATGCTGGCTAGTCAGCACTTGACATTTTTTTCTTCATCAGCCCCTGGGGGGTTTGTTCTGGCTTCTCCATACAGTACTATTAATCAAAGCCTCTATCAAAGTTTAATCAAAGTCTAATCAAAGTTTATATCATACAAAACTGCAGTTCTTAATATAGACTGACAGTAGCACAGAAGCAAAATGAGAAGTTCAGAACAATTTATAAAAATTCATCAAGTTTCATTGAAGTCACCACACTGCCATAGAGCTGCTGGATTCTGCTGAAACTACACTTCCATGAAATCTCCCTGGCCAACCATTTTCCCATTTTCTACCAGCTCTGTTGGAAACTCCTACACTGTTCATATGCTGACACCGTAGCCAGCGTACAAAAGTTCACAGTGCCACCCAGCATTGCTCTCCAGTCCTTCTACTCCAAACAAATTGCTGTTCCTGCCTGAGCTGAACAAGAAGTTCAGAGACTTGCTAGCAGTTTAGGAC